TTGCATACCATGGTGGCAAACCTAACGCAGCGTCATTTGACATGGCAGTTTGCATTTGTACATCTGTTGGCACTTGACCATAGTTTGCCATTGCAGTTTGTATTCTAACTTCATTTGGAATATTCTCTGGGTTTGGTTGTCCAGGTTGCTGTGCATTTGCTAAGTTCTGTGCGTCCATTTAATATTAGATAAAAATATCTCTTACGAGTACATATACTGGACATTTGCAGGCATTGGTTCATCTTCATATTCTCTGTACCTTTCTGCCACGTCAAATAAATAAATGACACAATGGAAAAAACCTAAAACAAGTAGTCCTATTTCAAACCACATTTACTTACCAATAAAATTTCTTTGTTATGACACTTTCTCCGGTTTATAGGACCTCTCTCATATTCTATCTTGTCATATCTAAACTCATAGTCATGTATGTCCTCTAACCATCTCATAACGGTTTCCAAACCACTTTTATCGGATGTAAAGTAAAAGCATGGATGGTTATGTAAAACGTCTAAAGTTTCTAAAGAGTCTCTCAAAGTCCAGTCTACTTGGTATTGAAAATCCCATGTGTTATAGAACGGCGGGTCTACTATAAAGAAAACATTTTCCTTGTCTTTATATTTTTCATACAACTCTGTCCAATGACATCTCACAAACTCTATACCCTCAATATATTTTTCTATGTCCTCTTTGAAAACATTTGTATAGTTAAGATATAAAACGTTTGACATAAGTGTTTCAATGTCATGAACTCTTATAGAACCACTATATAATAGTCTAGCAGATATACTATCCCAGTCTATATATTCTGCTTTTTTCAAAACCTCTCTCACAATATTTTTCTTATCTAATGGTATACGTTCCATCTTGCCTATAGGTATCTTTTCTTTTAACTCTTTCAATATTTTGTTAGTGTCTGGTATATGTTTGAGACGGTTCATATAGTTGTCGAAGTCATTGCATATAATCTTTGAGTCTGGGAATATTGTATGGCACAAATGGGATATATAGAAACTTCCACCGAACAAATCTACAAATGTTAGACCATTCGGTAGTTTCTTAAGTTCTCTCAATAGAATATCTTTACATCTACTCTTATTTCCAAAGAAGGGTAACGGTGGTTTTGTAAAATTCATTTATATATAATAATAAAAATGTTTTTACCTGAAAAGTGACAGAAAAGTGACAAAACATGAAAACATATATATTTTGTGAAAAGCTCCTGGAAGACCCGTATATAAGAACTTCATTTATACTAAACATCTTCGGGGCTAGAAGGGGCGCAGCCCCTGGAAACCCTCCAAAATAAAAACTTCATTTATACTAAACATCTTCGGGGCTAGAGGGCACGAAGTGCCTGGAAGCCCCAATACCTTTTTTTTTTTTTTTTAATATTTCAATATTTATGATATTTCAATGTATTAAGTGGTCTCAAATTGAGCTTCTCAAATATAAGTTGGCCTATTCAAATAATAAAATTAAATAATATTTAAAATAATAAATAAAAGTGATTGAGGTCATAGCAAAACGGCTGTTTCAGTCATTAATTCTTAAAAATAAAAAGGGTAAAAACTAAATAAAATGGGTAAAATTCAATAGTGTCTGTGCTATCGTTCAATTTGAAGGTGTCTTTTGAAACCGCAAGACACATTGAATTTTTGAATAGTGTATTATGGTTTGACAGACACCAATAAAAAAATAAAATGATATTTATTTTAAATATATAAGATCCTTATATAAAATATAAATATTTTATCGTTTTATTTTCTTGTTTTAGAAATGTTTTTTATTGAAAAATCAATAAAACTAACTCCAAAATAAAATTTTTGATTTAAAGACACTATGATGACACCAGGCAAATCTTCCAAGACACCTATCGTCGGGAATCTAACAACCCTACTTCTCTATAAGATACATCAATTTGTTGTAATTTCAAACGTTTCCATTGTTTTGTTTGACCACAGGGAAAGGCCCAGTGGTAATGTATCACAGCAAGAGCTTTGATTTGGTCGTAGGGATTGACCCTACGACCTTTCTTGCCTTTAGGCAATGGGATATTCTGTAAGCTAAATTGATTTTGTAAAAAAGATTTTGAAACATCTAAATATTTGAAATCATTTGATTGAAGGGTTGGGGCGATGGGAACATGGGTGCAAGCTTCTTCCCATGTCATTTTACCTTCTTCAATCTGATTGGAAATACAAATTAGGTAAATTCGATCGACATACCCTTTGTAAGGATTCATTCTAATGAAGTACGTTAACAATCAAAATATTCTATAAGTGTCTAGTATGGAATTCAAAAGAATAAAGAAAATGGTAACGTAAATAAACGTATTATGAAATAATATATAATTAAAATGAAAAAAAGAAAAAAAATAAGTAAAGTGACTGGAAATGAAAATTAAAATTGTTGTAAACAGAAATTCATCAAAAGTGACACCTCAGAAAAGCTAAAATATTGAATTTTTGGAACTTTTGATAGAGCACGTTTTTAAATATTAATTAAAGTAAATGTATATTTTGTAAAGATTCTTTTTAATAAAAAAATAAAATTTTGAAGAAGAACACAAAATCTTCTGAAAAATAATATCACATAAACTCATATTATTTTCTAATATATAACTATTTTATATAAAAATCAAATTCAATGATCTTAAAAGCGAAGGATAAACCTCAAAAATTACGAATATAATGAGTGGGAATATAATGCTTATCTATCATAAAACCATATGAAATATCAATTTTTGCTTTACGCCTAATTTTTGACGACAATTAGCAAAAAATGTTAAATGTTAACACTCAGTCCATTTGAATATGAAAAATAAAATTGACTTTGATTAAATGTTTTTATTTATCATGCAATTCTTCTTGCGACCAAAGAGTTGAATAAAAGTTCAAAAAATAAGATAGCTTAAAAAATAATATACGGTAGTGTTTACTAATAGATGAATAGTATATAAATTCTATTAAAATGGATTTGATCCAAAAAAATATAAAACCAAAAATAATTGTTATAATTTAAATGAAGAAGTAATTTAAAACGATTTTATTTATGATCAAATTTTATATATTTTTTTGGATCAAATCCATTTTAATAGAATTTATATACTATTCATCTATTAGTAAACACTACCGTATATTATTTTTTAAGCTATCTTATTTTTTGAACTTTTATTCAAATCTTTGGTCGCAAGAAGAATTGCATGATAAATAAAAACATTTAATCAAAGTCAATTTTATTTTTCATATTCAAATGGACTGAGTGTTAACATTTAACATTTTGCTAATTGTCGTCAAAAATTAGGCGTAAAGCAAAAATTGATATTTCATATGGTTTTATGATAGATAAGCATTATATTCCCACTCATTATATTCGTAATTTTTGAGGTTTATCCTTCGCTTTTAAGATCATTGAATTTGATTTTTATATAAAATAGTTATATATTAGAAAATAATATGAGTTTATGTGATATTATTTTTCAGAAGATTTCATTCTATATGCCTATGAAAAGTACTCTCAAAACTAACTTTTTCCTAATTATAATTAAATCTAGAATATTGTATTATGCTTAGTATTATTTCATTTTTCTCATTCAATTTAGAATTTACAAATGTCAAAAAATTGAGAGTTGTCACTTTTGATGAATTTCTGTTTATTACAAAATCAGTGTACAGTTTTATTTTTTTCTCGCTGTGAAACGTATTCGGTCATTTTTTTAAAAATTAATTTTTTGTTAGAGATAAGAGCTAAAACTCGGTAAACAACTTCTTTATGTCTAGAAAATTCTATCTTGCCTTTTATTTTTTTCTCGCTGTGAAACGTATTCGGTCATTTTTTTAAAAATTAATTTTTTGTTAGAGATAAGAGCTAAAACTTTGCAGACAACTCCCCCATGTCTAGCAAATTTAACATTCGTCTCCCATTTTTATATATTTGATTTAGAATGTTCGAAAATGCGTAATATGGTCATTAATATTAATTGAAAAGAACCTTGAATTAATTCAATCTGATCTCACAAAATATTTTAAATTACAAACTTTGTAGTTTGAATAGATAATTAGTATTACACTCAAATAACTAGTTTATTTTTGAATAAAAATTATTTGAATTTATTCAATTTTGTGAATTTTCCTTCAAAAATCAAGTTTAAATATCTTATTTGCCATATAATTATAAATACAATGAAACATATTCGAAATTGAAAAGAATGACTTTTTCTGTTCTTTCAATCATTCAATTTGAATTTTGCAATATTGGATTTCTCATTAGATAGCTATTAAAAACAACAAGCAATTTAACTTACATTCAAATTTATTTGTGTTATATTCAATCTTCTCAAAACTTATAATTTTCGGCTATAGCATGATTATATGCTATATAATATAATAAACCTATAATAGTATCATTCTTTCAATTATTTGAAGAGAAAACCGAAAAAATCTATTTTCGGTCTATAACATGGCGTTTCGAGTATCATATTAAAAATCATATAGCTTATCATTAAAATGGAGCTTGATATGATGATATCGCACGAAAGAATTGTATATTAAATGTGTTTATGGCCATTTTATGTTAAATTTAAGAAGAAATAATCAAAATTAAGAGTATTTTATCTGAATCAATTCTATTCACTATATAAAGCTAATTCATACTTCCAAAAGAATGAATTAAATAGTTTTTGAAATACATTCTCTGTTTTCCAACCTTGATATGAGGATTTCTGTTTGAAATAGATTGCTTATGAGTATGAGGTTGCTAGTAACTAGGATATGCATTAAAATTGCACTAAGATATCTTTTTCAAAAATTAATTTTGGAGCTGATTAATGTTTGCTGCCTAATTATTGTGTTGTATCGTTATTTCAATAAGACAATGTAATGTTATTATTCGATTTTAGAAAAATAAAATTGTTCCATGAAAATTTCATGAAACACTTTTAAAGATTAGAAAAATTTAAGTAAGTATCTATAAAACAAACAAATTTATTTATTATAATCTTATACACTTCCTTCAGTAGGATTATTATTATTTGATTCAGTTGAATTATTTTCTGTTACTTCAGCGACTTCCTTTATTGACTCTGTTGCTGCTTTCTTGCCTTTGCCTTTCTTTCCGCTTTTACCACTTACTCCAGATTTCGAAGATTTACCACTTCTCTTTGTTACAGCGTCATCTGCGTTTTCTGGAGCTTGTTGGGGCTGAGCAGCTGATGTCATGCTCTTTGCTTTCTTTGCAGCCATCACTTCTTGTATTGCCTGCATCATTTCTTGTTTGGCCAAATCCAATTTTGATCTTAAATCAGCCAATTCTTGCAAATTCTGCTTTTGTTGTTCCTTTCTGTTCTGTTCAGCCTTTGACAATCTCTGTTGCAATGTCTGCTTCTTTGTATTTAGCTGCTGATACTGTTCATTTGCTTCTGTTTGCCTCTTCTCCAGAACTCTTTTTTCATCCGCCAATTTTGCACTTAATTCTCTTCTTTCTTCGGAAACTTCATCATATTTATTATTCAAATTCGAAAGTTGTTCTTCAAGTTGAGAAATTTCTGCTTCTTTACTCTTCTTCGTTTCAGCGAGTTGTTCAACCTTTTGTCTATGTTCTTCTTGTGCGTCTTCAACAGCAAATTCTTCTTCTTTTATATCAGCTCTGCATTGGAACAATTTCTTTTCTTCTTCTTTGAGCCATTCGATGTGTTTTTGTGCGGCATCTGAAACATTTGAGTTCAATTCTCTTCTGTGGACTTCAATTGCTTTGGCTAGTTGTACGTATGATCTATATGTGAAATCATTGTTCGCAACATCAACATCAACAACTGTTTTTCCTTTTGTCAATGCATTTAATAATTCATTTCCTGCATCATCTTTTAATTCATTATTTCTCAATCCAATGAAAGACAATGTTGTGTTTTCAGCTAAAGCTTGTGCCATAGGAACACCACCTTTATCTGTGATGTTATTCGAGTTCAACATCAATCTTTGCAATGCTGGATGATGCTGAATAACTTGTGCAAACTTAATTGCACTTTCATCTCCAATCATTGTATCACTCATGTTCAAACTCTTTAGAAAATTGTTCTTTAACAATGATTCGGCAATTATCTGGCCTCCATCATCTTTAAACGGATTGGAAGAGATGTCGAAATGTCGAAGAACATTGAAATTCGTTATCAAAATTTTGATGAAATCCGCGGATTCTCCCCATAATCCATTCTTCGAAAGAGAGAGATTATGAAGTTTTGCACCATTGGAAAATGCAGTACAAAGGTTCCTCATGAAAGGAGTACCAAGATTATTGTCACTTAAGTCTAAAACTCTCAATGTTTTACAGCTGGAAAGTCTCTGACAAATTTTTTCTGCTGCTGTATCATCAATGGCATTTCTTGAAAGAATAAGGGTGTGTAAACATCCGAAACTGTCTTCATGCTTGAAAAGCTCAAGAGCACCAGCGCCACCAAATCTGTTGGCCGTAAGATCTAATTTATATAATGAAGTGTTTTGGGCGAGAGCAGGGCCTAATAACTTGCATCCCGCAACTGTAATACCGCATGTAGCAATGTTAAGATTGGAAAGGGTCTTGTTTTTGATGAGAACATTTGCAAGTTCTTCACAACCATGAGTTCCGATTTTATTCCTTTCAATTCCATCGATAGCACTTAAATCAAGATCTGTAATGTGATTATTGAATAGTAATCCTCTGAAAAATACTTTCATTCCTTGACAATCAATTCCGTTAGATCGTAAATCGATATATATAACGTTAGGATCGACAGCAACGAATCGTCCGAGCTCTTCAGCACCGCGATCTCCAAATCTGTTGAGTGAAAGGTCTAAAAATACAAATTGTCGATTTACTGTAAGAATATTAACTAAACGATTCGCACAACCTGGTCCAAGACCAAGTCCTGAGAATTTTAATGATTTCGCTTGAATTGCGCCCATGAATTGTTCAACAAATCTTTTTTGTGCATTTGAATTTTGCTTTAAATGCATATCTGTACATTTGTCTTGATACATTTCGATTGCATCTGATTCTGATATGTAATTTGTTTTCCTTGCTGATTGTAATGCTGGTAAAGGTGCTGTTCGACTTAAAATTTGAGTTGTTTGAGCGCCTTCCCTTGTGTTTTTAGTAGATTTCCGACTCATCACAAGAGTATTGATCTTATGGTCAATATTTCTCCTATATGAATCGGATAGAAAGCGCTTAACATTCATTTTTTAGAAACTTGAAAAAATCAAAAAAAAACACGTTATCTCAGAGAAAAAACTGACAAAAGATTTTTGGTTTAGAAAAATCGCTAATCCTATAATGATAAGAAGCCTCATTTGATGTTACTTCTAAATTTATTATTAGATTGATTAGATTTTGTATTCTAAATTTCAAGAATTTGATTTCCATGGGATTTCAAGTTATATTGATCGTGAAAATGTTTGCTATTATCACCACTAAGACTGTTGTGATTGGAAATTATGAAATGAAGACTTTACATAATCACTTCCTTATAAAAACTTCGAGAAGAAAATTTTTTTTATTTCACTAAAAATGATTTTCTTCTCTTTATTTGTAGCTAAAATCCCTCCATGCCAGCCACCAAAACTTCCACCAGGTGTGTTTGTCTTTGAACCTTTCAATACTCTTGAGTATCCTAAGAATTGGTCAAGAACTGCCGTAAAAGGCTTCGATGGACAAATGGCTATATATGATTTAGCAGAACCGAAGACATGCAAGATCGATAGAGCACTAGTTATGAAAGATGGCAAGAAGAAATATGCATTTTCGCGTTATCTTAATCAAAGACTTATTAATTATAACAAAACAGTGATTTTACAATACGAATACAGATTCCCAAGATATCTTTCTCTGTCATCAGGCTATATTAAGCTATATGACGAGTTTTCTGGTTTTCATCCAAATAATCTTTCCGAGAAAACAACGCCTACATTAATTTTCGGACCAGAATTCAAATACTTTTCAGGTAAAATACATCTGAAGTTCGTTTACCAGAACAAATTATCACGCGTTTACGAAGAACACGTACTTAAGAATCCTCCAGCAATTTACTTAGATGGATTGAATCATTTGCTTACTCTCATGCTCAAACCTGACGAAACATTCACAATTTTCTACGATGGTGAGCCATATTTCAATGGTTCTTTACTTACAGATTTCGAACCTCCATTTGGCGGTCACGAGATCATTCCTGACCCAGACGATATCAAACCAAAAGATTGGGATGAACGAGAGATGATTGTTGATGAAACTGCAGTCAAACCAGCAGATTGGGATGATAATGCAAAACCAGTCATCAAAGATCCATCAACTCAACCGCCAGAAGGATGGCTTGTTGACGAACAACCATTTATTCCTGATCCTTCCGCTACAAAACCAAAAGATTGGGATGACAATTTATTTGGCGAGTTTATTCCACCAATAATCCCCAATCCTAAATGCCACGCCCCAGGAGTTGTTGGTTGTGGTCATTGGGAACCTTCTTACATCAAAAATCCAAATTACAGAGGTATATGGAAGAAACCACTCATAAAGAATCCAAATTACAAGGGAAAGTGGGTACAAAAACGTATACCTAACAAATACCACTACAAACCAAGTAATCCTCATTTTATGCCTCCAATAACCGGAATCGGCTTTGAATTGTGGACACAAGATGGCGGTTTGGCCTTCAAAAACGTGCTTCTGAAAACAGGTGAAGAAGGCCTAAACGAGACATTTTTCCACAATTTCAAGCTCAGAAAGGAATATCAGAGAAATCCACCGGATTACGATCCGAAAGTTGATGAGCATACAATGGAAGACCTCAATACATTGTTTGGACACCGTCATCACCATCATTGAAAAAATTATTTTATTTTTGATTAATAATCGTTTGTTAATAATAAAAATAATCAATGTTATCAATTTATTTCTTTTTATAAACAAAAAAAAACTAAATAATTTTAATTTTCAAATTATTGAATTGTAAGTTAAAGAACTGTGTACGAATTTACTCCATCCTGCGATAGTCTTTAAGATACATACGTATAAATCTGATTGGATCAACAATAATTGAAGCAAGACCTAAAATTGTAAATAAAACGTATAAATATGTTGGGAATGGCATTGAGAATAATCCTGCATTATGGTACGTTGCACATGAGAGCATAAATCCGAATGTAGCACTCATTCCATATAAAAATCCAATAAATTGAAAAACACTATTTGGAATGAAAATCAGTATAACAGAGAAAAGTAATGAAAAGCCAATAAGAAGATACATTGTCTGATTTGCTGGACCACCCATTTTTGGAGGGATAGCGAGGTTTCTTAGGTTTTCGGTGTTGATGAACATGCTAAGGGCTTGTGGATATTGTGCTCTACCTTGTGGTACGCCTGAGAATTTTTCATATAAAAATTTGAAAATTGGGACATACATGTAATATGGTCTGAAATTCTTGCCAGCAACTGTCTGCCAAGACATCATTGTGATAAGAAACATAATTGGAAAGAAAATCAGTGTTCTAACATAAGCTTTCATTTCTCTCTCAAAAATCTGACATAACTCTTTACTGATAAATTTTTATTCGATGTAAGAGAAATGTATTGCTGTACTATCAATAAAGATTCCAAATATATTCTGGAAATTTCGAAAACTCTCAAAAATCTCAATTCTTCATAAAACTCAAAGTTGATTAGTTTATTGTATTAATGGAAATAGCATTAAGGCGATGTTCCAAAGCTTATTGTTTGCCGTTCTTCATAAAAGTATTCAAAACTAGAAAAATATTACTTAATGAACAAATATCCAACTCACATAGATCACGATTCTTCTCATAAATTTATTCATCTGTAAGCTATATCATGCTTTCACAATGACTTTTTTTATCAATTATGAATATGGATCGCAGAATTATTCAAGCTAATTAGAATTTCTGATATGTTATACTCCTTTTAGAAGTTTTCATACAATAGGCATGGTCCAGATAGGAATCAACTAATTTAATTTTGTAACTGAATTAATCTTGATTTATTTTCAAAATCATCGAAGTATGAACATGTGTCAACATTTATTTTGTCCTTGTAAACTTGGGTAGTATATACAACCTGAGTTATCATTTCTGTTTTATGTATTAGGATAGCTTCTTGATACCCTTGATTTCAGTGTCACATTTTTAGTCGCGAAATTCAAAATCTACAATTGTTGACAGATGACAATATATTTTCCGGCATTAAATTTCAATTAGGCAAAAATTTTCCTTAAAATCATACGTTAAGAAGGTACATTTCGAGACCATGACCAACATACTAAAGAGTTTTTTTGATATTCAGATGAGTCCGACAACACAGGCTGATGTTAGAGATGCTAACCTCCAAGAAATTCAAGCTTTTGAAAGTTCTGCGGAATCATTATTAACAGTCTATGAATACCTAGAGAAGTCTACTGATATATCAGTGAAGAAATGGGTAGTTCCGATGCTCAAGAGAATGCTCATGGCACATTGGGAATCATTTGAAGAAAATGATGAAGTGAAAGAACAATTTAAGAACCTTTCATTACGTGTTATCTCAGCAAATCAAAAACATGAGTTTCTTTCTCAGTTTTTATATGCGACATTACCTATAATTAAGACAGAAATCGATTCATGGCCAGAGATTTTTGGAGTCATATCTAATCTCGTTGAACAGCCATCAAAGGAAGCGCATCTTTGTGCTATTGAAATCATCAATGCTGTTTCACCACATATGGCTGTCACTGATGCAGAACAAAATTCAGGTTTTATTATCAACGTATTTCAAACGCAATACGAATCTGGAGATGCTGATAGAATTAGAGCTGCTTCTGAGATGCTTGCTGTCTATTTTAACATTTCTGGACTTGATTTATCTCCTTACGGTGGTATTTTTGAAGCATTTTTCAATTTATACATCAAACCAAACGACACCATTATGCCAATATACAAAAATCTTTCAGACAGTTTAGAAAAAGCACTTAGCATTGATAATTTACCATACCAAGCAGAAGACGTCTTAAAAGGTCTTCTTGACTTCCTTGAAACCGAAGGTCTTACTTCTGAAATGCATAAAAACATTTTCATTCCGATTAATGCATTATTGTTATTCAATCCATCAATTTGCGAAGAATCACTTGAAACCTTACTTCAAATTGTTTATAATTACGCAACAGCAGCATTTGAGGAAACAAACTTCTATGATAACGATAATTTAACTTCAATTGCCTCAACAACAGCTACAATTGCATCAAATGGTGTTCAAAGCTTCTTCGAAACTCTTATGAGTGTTATTGGCACTCCAAGCTCAAAAGAACAAGCAGTTGCTGCCCTTGCAATGATCTATTATTCTCAAGATAGCTTAGGATCAGAGACAAACAAATATTTGAAGGACGCAATTCTTCTTCCAATCAAATTTATGCAAGAACTACAAGATCCTTTTGTTGTAGAAGCTGTTCTTATTACATTGGCTGATGCTGCAATGTTATTACATGAGACACAAAACGAACTTGGAGATGCAATTGTTGAAACAGTTTTACCATTCATTTCTTCCGAATACGAAGATGGAATCCTTACTCCAGCATTGAGAACTCTTCAATCTGTCATTGAGAACACAACAATATCATCTTCAAAGTACCAAATTATTGTTGAAATGTACTTGAAATTACTCAATGAAAAACCATCACAAATTGTTGATGTAACAAATGCATTTTCTGAATTAGTTTTCTCATCGAAAGGAGAAATTACAACACTTATTGGTGACTTCATTCCTGTTGCAATTGAAATTGCAATGACAACAAACGACCAAGATTTTGCCATTAAAGGATATGCCATTGAATTACTTACAAACATTTTAGTTAATTCTCCAAATTTGAGAGAAGCCATCATGGAACAATCGAATGTCGATGTTCTACAGGTTATTATGGATCAGTTATTCAATTATATGTTAACAGATGATAAAACACTTAGATTGTCTCTCTTGATTTCCCTTCAAAAATTAGTCGCAGCTAAGTTAGAAACATTAGTTGAATTCAGAAGAATTATTCATCAGTTTATTGATGGAATTTTGACAGCAGACATTTTCATTTTCGATGAACTTGGAATGCCAACAGCATTAAGAGAAGACTTAAACATTTTGTCCAACTGCTATATTTTAATCAGATACATCTTCAAGTTCTGTCCTTTGTTGATTCCAGGACACAAAGATGTAGAACAAGATCCAGAAGATACAACAGATGTAAGGAAATGGTTTAATGCTGCAATTTCTATGACAGATATTCCATTCGAAGATGTTGCTAAATGCGCATTAAATTGCACACCAAGAATGCTCGAATACGTTTTCCTTTCTGGTGAAGATCCAACACCTTTCTTGGATAATTACTTTGATATTTTCTCTGATGAAAAATCATGTTTGCCAGAAATTAAAGGAAAAGCGTTTAGAGTATTTTCGAAGTTACTAAAGTATGAAGCAACTAAAAATAACTTGAACCAAGAATTGCTCCAATTATACATCCAGAAAGCAGCTTCTGTTTTCTCAGTAAATCATCCATTTAATGACGAAGATGATGAAGATGCTGATGAAAAGATTTTGGATGAAGAAGATAATAAACTTGGTGGTGGATTTACTACTGAGAATTATGAAGATGTCTGCCAATTCTTCAGGATCTTATTGATGAATCATCCTGAATTATTCCCAATGGATGCTATCCTTAACTTGACACAGAACATTGGAAACCTTCGTCCTGAAGTTCAAGTTTATTTCGTTAGTGTTTTGAATGAATGTTATAACAAAGTTCAATTAGAATCAATAGCAAAGACAAAGTTTGAAAAGGTAATGCTATCAACTGTTGAATTATGTGATTTCACTATGCCGCCATTCCCTATCAAAGCTTTGAACTCTATTCTTCAAAAATCCCCTGGTAAAATCAATGAGGATGTTTTATCTGCTGTAAGTGAAATTCTGCAGAGTGAATTCAGTGGAGAAAGATTCTATTGGGAGACATGCATGGCAGCAGTTGCTTTTGTTTGTTCCCTTATTCATATCCAAGGCCAGAATTTCGATAATAACTTCTTAGGTCTTGTTTTATCAAAGCTTCCAGTCAAAAACGAATATTCTTTCTCAGATCTAATCTATTCAACACTTTCTTCCCATATAACTCATGCTTTGTATCCATTAGTAGGCGAAGAGTGGAGAAGGGTTGTTATTCAAACAATTGCTTTAAGCGATACACTACTCGCAAAAATGAACCTTTCAAGTACAACATTCTCAACACTCATTCAAATCGCGAAACAATTTATTCAGGATGATGAATCTTTTGTTATGCAATTGTTTGGCGAAGATCCAATATCTATAGAGAGAATCCGTGCTCGTATTCAGTAACTTTTTTTATATTTTATTATTGATTAACTTATAAATACATAAAATTTTATACTATATTATTTTTAAACTATAAGTAAGTTAAAAATTGATAAACTAAATTGTGATTCAACATGGAGCAACACGTGTTATCACTCCATGTCTCTAAAATACAATGTAGAAAATGAAAATTTTGGTATTTTTTGCGGGCATACTAAAAATTACTGTAAGAGTGAATTATCCAGCTTTTTATTTCGTTTATAATCTAAGCATATTCATAATGGCCTGTATCTTTATATTGTTAGCTTGTTTTGGATATATAATTGAAACAAGCAATCTTTGGAACAATTGAGTTCATGTATTACGTTTACGTGCAGTAGTTCTTTCTTGCTATGAACTTCCTCAATCGTATTTCAAAGATGTAGAAATCATCTCATATTTTTTGAATCAGTTATTCGTCATTTCTTGCAAATAAGTACTCCATGGTTGATAGAATCATTTTGTATTGAAAACAATTAAATTTAAGAGCGTGTAACAGTTTTTGTGTTATAGACCGAAAATAGATTTTTTCGGTTTTCTCTTCAAATAATTGAAAGAATGATACTATTATAGGTTTATTATATTATATAGCATATAATCATGCTATAGCCGAAAATTATAAGTTTTGAGAAGATTGAATATAACACAAATAAATTTGAATGTAAGTTAAATTGCTTGTTGTTTTTAATAGCTATTTAATGAGAAATACAATATTGCAAAATTCAAATTGAACGATTGAAAGAACAGAAAAAGTCATTCTTTTCAATTTCGAATATGTTTCATTGTATTTATAATTATATGGCAAATAAGATATTTAAACTTGATTTTTGAAGGAAAATTCACAAAATTGAATAAATTCAAATAATTTTTATTCAAAAATAAACTAGTTATTTGAGTTTACTATTAATTATCTATTCAAACTACAAAGTTTGTAATTTAAAATATTTTGTGAGATCAGATTGAATTAATTCAAGGTTCTTTTCAATTAATATTAATGACCATATTACGCATTTTCGAACATTCTAAACCAAATATATAAAAATGGGAGACGAATGTTAAATTTGCTAGACATGGGGGAGTTGTCTGCAAAGTTTTAGCTCTTATCTCTAACAAAAAATTAATTTTTAAAAAAATGACCGAATACGTTTCATAGCGAGAAAAAAATAAAAGGCAAGATAGAATTTTCTAGACATAAAGAAGTTGTTTACCGAGTTTTAGCTCTTATCTCTAACAAAAAATTAATTTTTAAAAAAATGACCGAATACGTTTCATAGCGAGAAAAAAATAAAAGGCAAGATAGAATTTTCTAGACATAAAGAAGTTGTTTACCGAGTTTTAGCTCTTATCTCTAACAAAAAATTAATTTTTAAAAAAATGACCGAATACGTTTCATAGCGAGAAAAAAATAAAAGGCAAGATAGAATTTTCTAGACATAAAGAAGTTGTTTACCGAGTTTTAGCTCTTATCTCTAACAAAAAATTAATTTTTAAAAAAATGACCGAATACGTTTCATAGCGAGAAAAAAATAAAAGGCAAGATAGAATTTTCTAGACATAAAGAAGTTGTTTACCGAGTTTTAGCTCTTATCTCTAACAAAAAATTAATTTTTAAAAAAATGACCGAATATGTTTCACAGCGAGAAAAAAATAAAACTGTACACTGATTTTCATTTTCATTTCCAGTCACTTTACTTATTATTTTTTCTTTTTTTCATTTTAATTATAAATTATTTCATAATACGTTTATTTACGTTACCATTTTCTTTATTCTTTTGAATTCCATACTAGACACTTATAGAATATTTTGATTGTTAACGTACTTCATTAGAATGAATCCTTACAAAGGGTATGTCGATCGAATTTACCTAATTTGTATTTCCAATCAGATTGAAGAAGGTAAAATGACATGGGAAGAAGCTTGCACCCATGTTCCCATCGCCCCAACCCTTCAATCAAATGATTTCAAATATTTAGATGTTTCAAAATCTTTTTTACAAAATCAATTTAGCTTACAGAATATCCCATTGCCTAAAGGCAAGAAAGGTCGTAGGGTCAATCCCTACGACCAAATCAAAGCTCTTGCTGTGATACATGACCACTGGGCCTTTCCCTGTGGTCAAACAAAACAATGGAAACATTTGAAATTACAACAAATTGATGTATCTTATAGAGAAGTACGCAGATACTTCAAAGAAAATCATTTCACCAAGACGCGATTAGAGCATGCCGGGCCAGAAACAGCAGTAAGATATTGGGCGCTTTCACCCAATCTTATCTGGCACGCAGATGTTCATTATTTTTAGGGGTGTTCGTGGCCATATATTTATGGCATAGTCGACGATTTTAGCCGCAAAGTCCTAGCGTGTATACAAATACCAGATATGCTGGCAGCGACGACAGCGAACGTTGCGGCTTCCGCCTTCATTGAATTTGGCGCCCTTATTGTTTCTGGACCGACAACGGTTCAGAAAATAGGGGCGCCTTTCAAGATCTACTTGATCTTTGGGGCGTCCAATGGCGGCATACAGACTCTCATTCTCCCTACCAAAATGGGAAGATTGAGAGATTCTGGCCGACATTGGAGCGCTGCCAAAGCATTCAGGCTATTCCTGCCTTTATTTGGGAGTACAATAATAACGAAACAATAAGAATTACCGGAAAAGTGACAAAACATCAAAAACAGGGAGGGGTCTCAATTTTTATTACTTATATTATTTTACAATATTTATATAAATACTCTTTATAATATATTTACTATAAAATTATACCTCAAATTCAAATTTTAAAATATTATTTACATAATTATCTCAAAATTATATTTTTATATATTATTTTTCATATGTATAAATCATATAATCTATATCTATGCAAATCTCATCTAAAATTTTTTTGAAACAAACCGCTACCATTTTATAATGGTCCATCTTAAATTCATCATAAATTCTGGTACATGTTAGTACCAGAGTCTTCAAATCTCAAACACTCTGGTACCAACATGTACCAGACGCGAGTTTCCAATGCCCTCGTACGATTTTATTAAGATCTTCTTGAATGAGAAGGTCTTCATAGAAACTCGTACGAGGGCTTCTCTTTTAAATACTCTGGTACCTGCTGGTATCGGAGTCGACTTTACAGCCCTTTCCCAATTTTGAAGCTAGGGAAAGTTTTCAAGCAATGAAAGGGAAGCTCTCGCTATGAGGTGAAAATCTAGAATTTTTACCTCATAGCGAGTAATCCTTTGTTAATTGCTTGAAAACTTTCTTCAAATTATCAAAATTTCGAGGAAAGTTTCCTTGCTTCAAAGTAGAGATGGAGCCCTTTGAGCCACTGCATATAGGTCAGTGACTCAAAATACTCCATCTCTACTAGAAATCGCCAAATTTGGGTCGCAATCTTTGAAATGCGACGCAAGTTTTGGCAATTTCGCGAGGGACTTGCTCCATTTGGTGCATAGATTCACACTCTATGCACCAGATGGAACAATTCTTTCGCTGACAGCGGGAAACTTTGTCTGAATAGTTTAACATTCAGACAAAGTTTTCCGCTGTCAGAGAGGAAATGGAAGGGTAAGAGGTATATATTCATAATGTATACCTCTTACTCTTCCATTCCTCAAGAAAGTTCAAAAACTTGGGTGCAATCAGTTCTGATTGCACCCAAGTTTTTGAACTTTATATAAGGAATTGTTGGCTATGATGTACTGATCATGAATCAGTACATCATAGCCAACAATTCCTTCGCAAACAGTGGGAAACTTTGTCTGAATAGTTTAACATTCAGACAAAGTTTCCCGCTGTCAGGGAGGGAATTAGAGGGTGGGAGATATATAGATAGACTATAAATCTCTCACCCTTTAATTCCCTCAAGAAAGTTCAAAAACTTGGGTGCAATCAGAACTGATTGCACCCAAGTTTTTGAATTTTGTATAAGGAATTGTTGGCTATGATGTGGATAGCCGCTGCCAGACCAAATGAATTAACCGTTGTGAATAACGTTTCTGAATCTTTATTTAAAAAGATAAAATATCACGATTTTGGCTGCGTTAAAAATCAAAGAATTGATGTTTTTGTCAAAAATCTTTTAGAAGAAGTTGCACCCAATTACTTTTATCGTATTAAAAACGATTTACTTCAAACAGGTTTTATTCCTTCAATTAGAATTCGCGAGCCTCGATTGACAGATTATAAAACAAAATTGAAAAGAGAAGTTCAATCACGTTTATACCAAGTATTAAATTTTGTTCAGAATCAAGAAGCCAATTTGAATCCATTAAGATTTTTATTGGAAAATGCTGAAGAAAAACTTTCTCAAATAAATGAGAAGATACAAAATTCAATTACATATTTAAGATCGTTTGAAATTCCAAATGAATTGTTAGATACGTATATGTTAGAAATTAATGAATTTTGTTATAATTCTCCAGATTATATTTTAGAACATTTCGAAGAATTTTTAGAGGATTTCAAAGAAAAGAATAATTTAATAGACTAAAAAATTTATTATTTTTATTTATTGTGAATTTTAAATTGTCACTTTTTAAGTGTTACTCCCTATTGAAAGTGTCACTTTTTGGGTGTCACTTTTTCGGAAATTCTTATATACTCATTGAGAGATTCTGGCCGACATTGGAGCGCTGCCAAAGCATTCAGGCTATTCCTGCCTTTATTTGGGAGTACAATAATAACACACCGCATGAAGATCTCCCAATTAATCCATTAACTGGAACAAATTACACGCCAAATCAAATGTATCAGCTGAAACCGAAATACACAAATGCAGATACAGAAAGGTTGTGGCAAATATGGGATACAGATACAGGCATGACCGCTGTTGACACATTCACAGCGTAATAATAAACATAATTTTTTAATTTCATTTTTAACAAGTTTTTTTAAATGTATGTAATGAATAATTCATTAGAATATGATAATGCACATTGTAACAGAATAGAACAATCACCAAAATTTTTTTTGAAATTAAAAAATAAAAGTAAAAAGTATAAAGTAATCTAACCAAAAAAGATATTTAAAAGAATTTTGGAAAAAACAGAATAAGGATAATGATATTATTTTAGATACACAATCGATGTACTGAAGAATAATCCGGTAAAATGATGATATAAAATTAGATTATTTTACAAGTAGCTAAAAGAATAAAACTATAATATAAAATAAATGAAGTTTAATGAAACAATAAAGGTTAAATAAATAATAAAGATTTTTATTTTATATCAGTATTGAGAAGAAGTAACAGCTGACACTTGGTAGACAACTTCTTTATGTCTAGAAAATTCTATCTTGCCTTTTATTTTTTTCTCGCTGTGAAACGTATTCGGTCATTTTTTTAAAAATTATTTTTTTGTTAGAGATAAGAGCTAAAACTCGGTAAACAACTTCTTTATGTCTAGAAAATTCTATCTTGCCTTTTATTTTTTTCTCGCTGTGAAACGTATTCGGTCATTTTTTTAAAAATTAATTTTTTGTTAGAGATAAGAGCTAAAACTCGGTAAACAACTTCTTTATGTCTAGAAAATTCTATCTTGCCTTTTATTTTTTTCTCGCTATGAAACGTATTCGGTCATTTTTTTAAAAATTAATTTTTTGTTAGAGATAAGAGCTAAAACTCGGTAAACAACTTCTTTATGTCTAGAAAATTCTATCTTGCCTTTTATTTTTTTCTCGCTATGAAACGTATTCGGTCATTTTTTTAAAAATTAATTTTTTGTTAGAGATAAGAGCTAAAACTCGGTAAACAACTTCTTTATGTCTAGAAAATTCTATCTTGCCTTTTATTTTTTTCTCGCTATGAAACGTATTCGGTCATTTTTTTAAAAATTAATTTTTTGTTAGAGATAAGAGCTAAAACTCGGTAAACAACTTCTTTATGTCTAGAAAATTCTATCTTGCCTTTTATTTTTTTCTCGCTATGAAACGTATTCGGTCATTTTTTTAAAAATTAATTTTTGTTAGAGATAAGAGCTAAAACTCGGTAAACAACTTCTTTATGTCTAGAAAATTCTATCTTGCCTTTTATTTTTTTCTCGCTATGAAACGTATTCGGTCATTTTTTTAAAAATTAATTTTTTGTTAGAGATAAGAGCTAAAACTCGGTAAACAACTTCTTTATGTCTAGAAAATTCTATCTTGCCTTTTATTTTTTTCTCGCTATGAAACGTATTCGGTCATTTTTTTAAAAATTAATTTTTTGTTAGAGATAAGAGCTAAAACTCGGTAAACAACTTCTTTATGTCTAGAAAATTCTATCTTGCCTTTTATTTTTTTCTCGCTATGAAACGTATTCGGTCATTTTTTTAAAAATTAATTTTTTGTTAGAGATAAGAGCTAAAACTCGGTAAACAACTTCTTTATGTCTAGAAAATTCTATCTTGCCTTTTATTTTTTTCTCGCTATGAAACGTATTCGGTCATTTTTTTAAAAATTAATTTTTTGTTAGAGATAAGAGCTAAAACTCGGTAAACAACTTCTTTATGTCTAGAAAATTCTATCTTGCCTTTTATTTTTTTCTCGCTATGAAACGTATTCGGTCATTTTTTTAAAAATTAATTTTTTGTTAGAGATAAGAGCTAAAACTCGGTAAACAACTTCTTTATGTCTAGAAAATTCTATCTTGCCTTTTATTTTTTTCTCGCTATGAAACGTATTCGGTCATTTTTTTAAAAATTAATTTTTTGTTAGAGATAAGAGCTAAAACTCGGTAAACAACTTCTTTATGTCTAGAAAATTCTATCTTGCCTTTTATTTTTTTCTCGCTATGAAACGTATTCGGTCATTTTTTTAAAAATTAATTTTTTGTTAGAGATAAGAGCTAAAACTCGGTAAACAACTTCTTTATGTCTAGAAATTCTATCTTGCCTTTTATTTTTTTCTCGCTATGAAACGTATTCGGTCATTTTTTTAAAAATTAATTTTTGTTAGAGATAAGAGCTAAAACTCGGTAAACAACTTCTTTATGTCTAGAAAATTCTATCTTGCCTTTTATTTTTTTCTCGCTATGAAACGTATTCGGTCATTTTTTTAAAAATTAATTTTTTGTTAGAGATAAGAGCTAAAACTCGGTAAACAACTTCTTTATGTCTAGAAAATTCTATCTTGCCTTTTATTTTTTCTCGCTATGAAACGTATTCGGTCATTTTTTTAAAAATTAATTTTTTGTTAGAGATAAGAGCTAAAACTCGGTAAACAACTTCTTTATGTCTAGAAAATTCTATCTTGCCTTTTATTTTTTTCTCGCTATGAAACGTATTCGGTCATTTTTTTAAAAATTAATTTTTTGTTAGAGATAAGAGCTAAAACTCGGTAAACAACTTCTTTATGTCTAGAAAATTCTATCTTGCCTTTTATTTTTTTCTCGCTATGAAACGTATTCGGTCATTTTTTTAAAAATTAATTTTTTGTTAGAGATAAGAGCTAAAACTTTGCAGACAACTCCCCCATGTCTAGCAAATTTAACATTCGTCTCCCATTTTTATATATTTGGTTTAGAATGTTCGAAAATGCGTAATATGGTCATTAATATTAATTGAAAAACCTTGAATTAATTCAATCTGATCTCACAAAATATTTTAAATTACAAACTTTGTAGTTTGAATAGATAATTAATAGTAAACTCAAATAACTAGTTTATTTTTGAATAAAAATTATTTGAATTTATTCAATTTTGTGAATTTTCCTTCAAAAATCAAGTTTAAATATCTTATTTGCCATATAATTATAAATACAATGAAACATATTCGAAATTGAAAAGAATGACTTTTTCTGTTCTTTCAATCGTTCAATTTGAATTTTGCAATATTGTATTTCTCATTAAATAGCTATTAAAAACAACAAGCAATTTAACTTACATTCAAATTTATTTGTGTTATATTCAATCTTCTCAAAACTTATAATTTTCGGCTATAGCATGATTATATGCTATATAATATAATAAACCTATAATAGTATCATTCTTTCAATTATTTGAAGAGAAAACCGAAAAAATCTATTTTCGGTCTATAACAGTGTAACAGTTTTTGTTATAAAATTTTTGGATAAATTCAAAGGAGCACATGAGAATGAACTTATTAAATTGCAAATTAGCCACTTCAAAATTCTTAACGTCTTTTTATAGTTAGGCGGCCAATTAAAAATGTTTTATTCAAAATTTGATACAATGACTTCACTTTAACATAATGCTAGTTGGACAACAAGCACCAGACTTTGAACTCGAAGGCGTTCTCAATGGCGACTTCAAGAAGTACAAGCTCGCTGACTACAAGGGCAAGTGGCTCGTTCTCTTCTCATACCCACTCGATTTCACATTCGTCTGCCCAACAGAAATCATTGAGTTCTCCAACAAGCTCGAGGAGTTCAAGAAGCTCGGTGCTGAGGTTCTTGGCCTTTCTGTTGACTCCGTTTTCACACACCTTGCTTGGCAAAATACACCACGTAAGGAAGGTGGCCTCGGCGAAATCCACTACCCACTTCTTTCAGATCTTACACACGCCGTCTCCGAAGCTTACGGTTTCTACATGAAATCTGAGGGACACACACTCCGTGGCACAGTTATCATCGACCCAGAGGGCATCGTTCGCCACGTCCAGATGAACCACCCAGATGTTGGCCGTAACGTCACAGAAATCATCCGCCTTGTCAAGGCTTACCAGTTCGCTGCAAAGCACGGCGAAGTTTGCCCAGCTACATGGCAGCAGGACGGTGATGCTACAATCAAGCCATCACCCAAGGAGTCCCTTGAATACTTCCACAAGGTTAACTAAAGGATTTAATGTAATTGGTTGAGCAAATTTAACTGATTTTTTTACTTTTTTACCAAATCAGGAATTAATGTTTGTATTAAACTCTTCGTGGTCTTTAGCTTTATGGATCTCATACAATAGATTAAGATTTCTACGCTTGATTAATTATAAACGTTAATCAATAAACCTCACAGGCGTACAAAAACCCAAGGAATCAACTTAAAACATCGAGTTATGTAATGATTCTATTCAAAATCATTTCAGATTTTCAAATAATAATACAATTAAAAATACCAAAGGTGTTTCAAGTTCACCACTATTGCATATGACTGAGATTCAAGATTTTATGCAAAACTATCCCTATACTCCAAGCAATCGAAAACAGATTACAGCCTAAATTCAAGTTCATCATCAAAAATTTAAAACGCATGCATATTCATTACATTATATCAGATTTTTGATCCTCACTGTTCTATTATGTCAAGAATTTGGCCGAATTTCTCATGAAATGATTGAAGAAAGCCAAGATTTTGAAGATTTTGTCTTTCAATAAAAAAATTTTTTTATGAAGAGAACAGCTGCTGACTTTTTAAAACTACTATCTAAGGTAAACAAGGATGTAGTCAATACTGAAATCGAGACAGAACACAAACAAGAAGAAAAGAAAGAAGAAAAAATCGAAATTCAGCAACATGATGTTGATATTTACCAAAACTTACCACAAATAGAGCTTTCAGGAGCACCGATAGAATTCAACGAGTGGTTCAATGAAATGGAGCATGATTTTTCAAAGCCAAAACCAGAAGCTCAAATGTATAATTCTCCTTATGGAATTTTACGCACAACACTTCCTAAATTACCAAAAGGACCGATCAAACTCAACCCATTACTCGCAAATACAAAGCAATGCAAGAAAATTATGGACAAAATTATTGCAAATCCAATTTTTGACTACGAAGACTTCCTTTACACAACGAAACCAGAGGACACAATTGACGAAGTCCGTAAAATTACCGCACTTCACGTCTTAAATCATGTCATTAATGACTTTGATGCAAAAAAGAATCGTCCTACAGGTTCTCTTAAGCGCGATAGTGGTTTTACACCAACAGTTGTACTTATTATTGCCAGCTCCAAGTTACAAGCCTACAAATTCGTAAGCGATCTTCTTGAATTTGTTCCAGAAGATATTTTGATCGAGCATGAAGATCGTTTCCGCCTTGAGTATGGTGCAGAAGTTCCAAATGGTGTTATCCAAAGCCATCCGAAAGACTGGCTTGCATATTTTGGTGGTAATAACGAACAAGATTTCAAAACCGCGATTAGATTCTTTGGCGACAAGATTTCCTTATGCCAACAGATGAGCAAGTCCCAGATTGTCATTGCTTCTCCCGTCGGCATCATGCTACACAAAGATACATCGTTCCTTTCTTCGATTGAAATTCTTGTCCTCGATACACTCGACTTTCTCGAGGTCCAGAACAGCCAGAGATTGTCGGAATGCATCAAGACAATCAACCAGAAACCAATGACAGTCGAAGAAACAGACTGGAGCCGTCTGAGGACATATTTTTCGGATAAAAATCATCCGAAAATGCGTCAAAACATTGGTTACGCGACTGTTATGACTCCGGAGATGATTTCCTTGTTCTCGTCATTCGAAAACATAAGAGGAAGTAACATCGTCAAACAGAGTTTCACTAAATCCCTCTTTAACCCTGGTGTCGAACAAGTTTTCAGAAGAATTCCGGCTCCAAATATCGTTTCAACCGCCGACCAAAATTTCAAAATTTTCCAGTTGAGAATTTTGCCGCAGATCAAGGCATGGAGAGCTGCTAGCGATAAGCCTGGAAGGACAATCATATTCTTCGCTAGTTCCATGCTGTTCTACAGAGCAAGAAAGCTTTTGGACGACAGCGGCGTAATCTTCTTGGAATTAGCGGATGAAGCAACTAAAAAGGACTCAATTAAGATGAGAAAGGCATATACAGAAGATCCTAATGCTGTTATGCTCATTACTGAAAGATATTACTTCCATTTCAGACCAAAATTCTTGGATACAGGAAGAATTATCTTCTACGGAGCACCAACATATCCTCAGTTTGTTTCTGAACTTGCAAAGGATATCCCTGTGTTCTTGTATTTCAATGAATATGATGATCTTGCTCTTGAAAGATTATGTGGCGGTGAAATGGCAATGAGACTCGTCAAAGATGAGGTTTATTTGATTTAAGACTAAATAGAGATAGATATATTTTATTATTTTAATCCAAATCCTTTTTTAATATCGAAATATGAAATGTATCTTGTGAAATACAAAGATTAATGTATTTTTAACAAAACAATACTTGAACATTAAAGGACTTTAAAATGAATATCTAGCCAAATTAGTAAAATATTGTAGAATTTTTATTATCTCAAAAAAAATTATCCAAAATATATCATTTTTCCCTTTCAATTTTTAATTTATCTAAAATAAAAGATAATCAATGATATTAAATTTTCCAAATTTTTTTCATTTTCTCAAAAATGAAATTATTTTCTTAGAAAATGAATTTTATATTTTGAAATTCAAAAAATTTTTGGAATTTTGTTCATATTCACATACACAGTACAGGCTATGGTGATCATAATTTTCCACAAAAAAATGATTGTTTAAATCAGATTTAATAATAATATTTTATTTTCATCTTTTTTTAGAAAGAGGGAGGTTAAGTATATAAGAAACGAGCGATTTACAATCCAACTATCTTTCAAAAACAAAATATGACATAAAAATACAAGTAAAAAATGAATTTCTCACTTTTTCTCTAAAATTACATCGCTACGAAGGTTGATGTGCAGTTCAATCTCTCTTTCGTCATGAATTGCACCGCGTGTAATGACCTTCTGGATCTGAGAAACTGGGTAAAAGTTAACTTTTGTGTTCTGAAGTCTGTAAATGATGGCAACCTTCGAAGAAAGCTTTCTAATTCTCTCCCAGTTGATAAGACCACCAAGAAACACTGGCATTTCGTCTTCTGAAACCTTTCCGTTCTTGATTTCAACATCCATGTTAGGAATTGCACTCTTGTAAACGGAGTAAGCTTCTTTAAGACGATTGTCGTAATCTTCGCCACCAGAGAATAGGTCTTCTGGCTTCTTTTGGTCCTTATCGTCGATTCCACATAATTTTTGAATATCTGTACGGCCAAGTACCTGTGCAAATGCTGCTGTAGCTTGGAAATTGCACATTTCCTTGAGGTTTTCGAAAACCATCATAGCTTTCTTGTAAGTTGATGCTGGATCTGGGCTGTAAGCGATTGTTTCCATAACTAGAAGCTGTAAACGTTCGTGGAAGAGGCTGAATTCGTTGAGGGTTGGGGTACTGAATCTCTGGTGCTTTGGAGAAAATGCATTGAAGAATTCAAGAGAATGGATGCTTGCGAAAACATCGTAGCTCAGTAAAGTGATTTGTCTTGCAACTTCCTTCGAATCCGGATCGAATAACTTCAGATCGGAAGAAAGAATAATCAGAGGATCTGGTATAAGTGGCCGCTCTTTTTCTTGGGTCAAGGAGCCTGATTTTCTTCCGTAAGTTAATGTTGGCATGGATGCAAGCAACGATACTGTAACTTTGTTGATGTATTGGAATTGTGCTGTATCTTCGGAAATTGTCTTAAGGAATTCTTGGATAAGCTTAAGGGTCTTCTTTCCGATAAACAGGCCGTGGAATGTGAGCCACTTTTTAATGAGGTTGATGATGTTAACTCTTAAAGGTTGAATTTCAAATGTAGATAAGTCATCGAGAATAGTTGGATGGCCCCTTAGATAGAAAAGATGCATTAACAATTCGAAGAAGTGCTCGGAGGAAGTAATAGAGTGAAGAGACAAGAAAATGTTATGAATATCATCATCAGTTAATGTTTTTTCTCTAATCGGATGAACCATCATAACGACAATTCTACGGAGGGAAGATGCCTTAAGGCTGCTATATGATAATTTATCACCGTAAACAGAATTGATATTCGGATCCATATATTCTTCCCAGATCTTTGTAGGATCTTCACGGTATGGAGACGCGTTGTAATCTTCTTCATGCTCTTCCGGAACGTAATGATGGTTCGGCTCAGGAGGAACGTCCCATGGATTATCTCGGAGACCTAGTGAAAGTGAGAGAATCATCCTAAGATCTGACGTTTCCCAGTCATCATTTGGTGGATTTAAAAATTTATATCCCGATTCATTCGCTAAAACATCTGCAGTATGATAAAGTCCAAGAAGTTTCAAATGCTGAGATATTAAATTCAAAACTTCATACCTATTTGCTACTGATGTATCTTGTATTGTATCCGTGAAGACAACATTTGCAAACGAAATTCCTCCAGTGAGAGGTAATAATTTTTCTCTAAGTACTGATAATTCTGGTTCCCTCTCAAAGATTTCGTTAAGCCATTGGCTCTTGTCAGCCTCCGGATCTACTGGCTTGTCACTTGTCTTTGATTCGGATGTTGACATTGTGTCAAAAGTGACAACTTTATTTCAATTGCGAAATCTAACAAAAGCGACAAAATAATGTATAGTTTATTCCATCGTAATTATTTGATTTTGTCAAAACCGACAATTTTTATCAAAATCAATTATTTGAGGGTGAACCCCATAAACTTGATGCTTTTTATTGACTTATATTTCGCACTTTAGGTGTATGCTTTATGAGTTAAAATCTATATTTTGGTTGATAAAAGTTGCGAAAACCACCAAATTATCTATTGTTCATTTTATTACTACGGACCTTAGATCATGAAACAAATCTTTCAGGTCATTGAAAGGGATAACATAGTGGTTCAATGAACAAGATTTACCAAAATTCAAATTATTATTATCTTTTGGAAATATTTTGATAAATGTTTCATCAATTCGTATTACCACATTAATTTTCAAAAAATATCCAACGAGAAAAGCCAAGGGATTATGGCTCATCAGAATATTGTATATTTCATCAGCATTTCCAACAAAAAATGCGGAAAAATATATAATCTTTTTGAAATTACGTGTACATTGAGTTTTACTAGATCAGCCAACTTGGTAATATCACTAGATATCTCCTAATATGTAATATTTATTCATTTGATTTTTTTATTTTTAGACATTTTACCGAATTTTGTATAATAAAAAACTAAAATACCGTATGATAATTATTCTGTACCAGTAACATGACCTGGTAATTACATTTATGTCCCAAATTTGCGAAATTAAAAAAGATATAAGAGTCAATCTCACTAAAATAAAATAACCTATTAATGAGATGATGTAACGCATCATCTTAAATACTCATGCTACAATAATTAAAATAAGCGTAAATTTCTTGATTTCATTTGGAAAAACAAAAGAATGACTACTCGGACCTTAGTATAAGTGATAAGTTTCATAGAGATCACATTTGTACTCAAGTAATATGCAAATTACAATGTAATCAATTGAAAATTTGATAAATTTCTTGAATTTCTAATTATTTTTCAATTCCAAAAAAAAGGTAGTGGGGCTTCCAGGCGCGTTGCGCCCTCTAGCCCCGAAGATGTTTAGTATAAATGAAGTTTTTATTCGGAGGGCTTCCAGGCGCGTTGCGCCCTCTAGCCCATAAGAAATTTTGCCCAAGACCCAAGAGGAGGACCGAACCCCAGCCGACCAGCCGGTGACAAAACCAAAACCGTTGTTATTTACATCATATTAATAGTGTCACTTTTTAAAACGTCACTTTTTCTGTCGCTTTTCACAAATTATATATGTTTTCATGTTTTGTCACTTTTCTGTCACTTTTCGGTTAAAAACATTTTTATTATTATATATAAATGAATTTTACAAAACCGCCGTTACCGTTCTTTGGAAATAAGAGTAGATGTAAAGATATTATATTGAGAGAACTTAAGAAACTACCGAATGGTCTAACATTTGTAGATTTGTTCGGTGGAAGTTTCTATATATCCCATTTATGTCATACCGTATTTCCTGACTCAAAGATTATATGCAATGACTTCGACAACTATATGGACCGTCTCAAACATATTCCAGACACAAACAATATATTGAAAGAGTTAAAAGAAAAGATACCTATAGGTAAGATGGAACGTATACCATTAGATAAGAAAAATATTGTGAGAGAGGTTTTGAAAAAAGCAGAATATATAGACTGGGATAGTATATCTGCTAGACTATTATATAGTGGTGCTATAAGAGTTCATGACATTGAAACACTTATGTCAAAAGTTTTATATCTTAACTATACAAATGTTTTCAAAGAGGACATAGATAAATATATTGAGGGTATAGAGTTTGTGAGATGTCATTGGACAGAGCTGTATGAAAAATATAAAGACAAGGAAAATGTTTTCTTTATAGTGGACCCGCCGTTCTATAACACATGGGATTTTCAATACCAAGTAGACTGGACTTTGAGAGACTCTTTAGAAACTTTAGACGTTATACATAACCATCCATGCTTTTACTTTACATCCGATAAAAGTGGTTTGGAAACCGTTATGAGATGGTTAGAGGACATACATGACTATGAGTTTATATATGACAAGATAGAATATGAGAGAGGTCCTATAAACTGGAGAAAGTGTCACAATAAAGAAATTTTATTAGTAAGTAAATGTGGTTTGAAATAGGACTACTTGTTTTGTTGCATGCTAAGTTCGGTCAACGATAGGAATTGAGGGGAAATTAATCGTCGAGGAAGTACGATTATGTAAAGTAAAAAATGTTGTGGGATTTTTAATATTGTATATAATTTTATAATAAAATTTTTGTGAGACATTTTAAGAAGCACATATAATTTTTTGAATTTAAAAATTAAAGTAGTGTTGAATGAATTTATTGATTAATTTAATACGGATATTTCTCAAAATTAATCAAAAATAGGTTTTCAGAGAACTTTTGAGATATCTTTTCAAAATGTCTTTTTGAAAATATATAAGTATTATATCAAATTGAAAAAAGGTATTTATCAAAATTCTAAATTCTTAATAAAAAATAACTTTTCAGAGGATTGTGATTTTGAAAGCATGAGTAATAAGTAAAAAATATCTACGATTTTAATGAGGGAATTGTTCCTTATGAGGTATACATTATAACTATATACCTCATAAGGAACAATTCCCTCTTGATAGCTGGGAAACTTTCTCTGAATAACTTATCATTTGGAGAAAGTTTCCCAGCTATCTATTAGAAACTAAAGGCTGTGAGGCACTAATATATAATCAGTGCCTCATAGCCTTTAGTTTCTTATTAAAAACGAGAAAACTTGTTCGAAATGATAAACAATTTCGAACAAGTTTTCTCGTTTTAAGGAGGGAATTGTTCCTTATGAGGTATACAGTATGAATATATACCTCATAAGGAACAATTCTTTCTTTAAATGGGAGAAACTTTGTCCGAATGTTAAACTATTCGGACAAAGTTTCTCCCATTTGTAGTGGAGATGGAAGGCTTTGAGGTATATTATATTAATATGTACCCCAAAGCCTTCCATCTCCACTTGAAAGTTCCAAAACTTTGGGTTAATGTCTTGCAATTAACCCAAAGTTTTGGAACTTTCTAGAAGGAATTGCAGGGTAAGAGGTATATATTCATACTATGTACCTCTTACCCTGCAATTCCTTCTTAAAATGGGAGAAACTTTGTCCGAATGTTAAACTATTCGGACAAAGTTTCTCCCATTTGTAGTGGAGATGGAAGGCTTTGAGGTATATTATATTAATATGTACCCCAAAGCCTTCCATCTTTATTGTACAATTTAAAAATTCAGGAAAAATGTAATAAGATTTTTATAAAAATTAAGCGTTTATTCGTAATTGTGTATTCAATGGTTCGGTATTTCTTTGATTTCGAAGTGTCCATCAATCATAACTCTCCAAAATGGCGTTTCACCCTGTTTCCAATGTGGTGTCTCATTGTAGCACTCTTCTGGAGTCATGGGGCGAAAACCCTTTTTGGGAAGGGTTTTATGTGGTACTGAGTTGTAATTTTTCCTGAATTTATCAAGAAATTCTTGAATTTGTTTTGCATTTGAAGACCGGCCGACATTTCTTTCAAGAGACGGCCAGAGCCTTTCAATCTTGCCGTTCTGGTGCGGCATATGAGGGAGAGTGTGGCGGATTTGAATGTTGTTTCGCATGAGCCAATTATAAAATTGGCCCATATTCTCTCCCCCGTTGTCGGACCAGAAACAAAATGGCTTTTGATATAAGCCAATCGTTTCTTCGGCAACTCTTGTTGTAGATTCGGAAGATTTATTTGGCAAAATTTTTAAAGCCAACAAAAACCGAGATTTATCGTCTATTATACCATAAACAGGTAACCTCTGTGAACCGTATAAAAAATGAACATCTACATGCCATATGGTATCAGGTTTTGTTGCTTCATATGGCGTATAATATTTTTGAGGGGGCCTGTCACTTTTTGGTTCTTTGATCTCCAAAATACTGTAAATTCTTCTGAGTTTATTGTAGGAAACTGAATAAACATTTTGATCCATGTTTAAACGCCAAAACATCTTTTGGATTCCGCACTTATATTCCTGAAATTTTTGGAGAACATATTGCAAATTTTCAGGAGTAATATAGGGTGTCCAAAGGTGTGTTTAGCACAAACCTGAATACTGCGAATAGAAATAAACAAGTTACATATATATAAAGTTTATTTAAATATAATCACCATTGGATTCAATCACGCGTTCGCAGCGATCGATCCAGGCTTGAAAGACACGAAACAATAAGAATTACCGAAAAAGTGACAAAACATCAAAAACAGGGAGGGGGTCTCAATTTTTATTACTTATATTATTTTACAATATTTATATAAATACTCTTTATAATATATTTTACTATAAAATTATACCTCAAATTCAAATATTTAAAATATTATTTACATAATTATCTCAAAATTATATTTTTATATATTATTTTTCATATGTATAAATCATATAATCTATATCTATGCAAATCTCATCTAAATTTTTTTGAAACAAACCGCTACCATTTTATAATGGTCCATCTTAAATTCATCATAAATTCTGGTACATGTTAGTACCAGAGTCTTCAAATCTCAAACACTCTGGTACCAACATGTACCAGACGCGAGTTTCCAATGCCCTCGTACGATTTTCTATTAAGATCTTCTTGAATGAGAAGGTCTTCATAGAAACTCGTACGAGGGCTTCTCTTTTAAATACTCTGGTACCTGCTGGTATCGGAGTCGACTTTACAGCCCTTTCCCCAATTTTGAAGCTGGGGAAAGTTTTCAAGCAATGAAAGGGAAGCTCTCGCTATGAGGTGAAAATCTAGAATTTTTACCTCATAGCGAGTAATCCTTTGTTAATTGCTTGAAAACTTTCTTCAAATTATCAAAATTTCGAGGAAAGTTTCCTTGCTTCAAAGTAGAGATGGAGCCCTTTGAGCCACTGCATATAGGTCAGTGACTCAAAATACTCCATCTCTACTAGAAATCGCCAAAATTTG